CCCAAGTCTATCATTTTAAGGTAAATTTTTTTTTTTTTTTTTTTGCAAACAGAAGCTCTATATAATTCCGAAAATCGTCGGTATCGTAGATTAACACCACCGTTTTGTGCTAATAATTATTAGGAGAACTTCCGAAAATGTATATTTCGGCAGAAAATTTGCCGTTGTATTTGTTAAAGGATCAAGTATTTTGGGATGCTGGAAAAAAGACATTTTTTCTGGTCGAAAAATATTCCTTCAATTTTAAGGAAAAAAATCAAGTGTATTTTAAATAAAACTTAAGAAATGATCCAATTGTGCACTGGTCTTTGATTATTTAGGGTGAAAACAAAGAAGGTGCCATAAATCTGATAATATCATTTACACCAGTTTAATCGACAGTGTGGCAAAAAAGCACCACCGCTCAAGCTGAATGACAGGGCGGTAGAATTGCATATAGCATAAAATATGTGCTGGACATTTTCTTTATTCAAAAGTCTCTGCATTAGTGGGTTCAAAATTATCTTTGAATTATTGTCACTACAATGCATTTAAATAAATACTAATAAAAGAGTGAGTTGAATAATCACAGCATTTCAATGTTTTAGAAAGGATACAGCAAGCGATAGTGTTGTTTACGAAGCACTGTTGTTCCTATCGATGAAAATGAATGTCATTAGGTGTATCCCTGAAAAAAAGCGAGGCGGCAAAACGTCACTGTCAATGCCTGAAATGAGCAATGAATAATAATCGAGTAATATTTATGCCCCCATTATGTTGTATGCGTTGAAGGGCAGTTTTACACCAATCGAAAAATGTGCATTTAGGATAAATTCTTTAAGCGCATCCTCATTCATGCCGCAAATAAAAAGACATTTGTTTTGAAGGAAAATTTGTTTTATCGCGTCGCAACTTTCTTGTAGATGTTTTTGAGTAGAGAACAAGTAACGAATCTGTTACTTTCTGAACGATTATTCTTACAATCCTTAATAATGCTATGGATTGAGAGGCAACACTTTTACCGATGGGTATAATAACAAAAAAGTTTTCTATCCGTCAAGGCTTTCAAATGTTTATTAAATATCTCATTAATGAATCTGACGTAACTAAGGTCACCTCCTGCACGTCGTCCCACTTGTTTATCCAATGATACAGCTTTCATCCAGAGATTATTTTGGAGTTGGTCACCGTGCACTTTAACAGAAGGTAGAATAATAAAATATACGAATAACGACAAATTTCTGTGTCATTTTGAGTAGTTTTGTCGTCCATATCTACTGTTTACTAACGTTTTCACTTTTTTTTTGTTTTACTAACGTACTGCTTACTAACGTTTTCAGTTGCTCACCCATAATGCATTTTTCTGGACTGCATCGCTGATTTCGTGCAGATTGTACAGATGAGTGTACACAGACTCAGTGGGTTCAGGCTCAGCTCTCTCTCTCGAACTACCTATCTTGTCAGACTTTTCATGATTAAATGACCTCTGTTTTGCTCGTGCTGTATTGCATGCCTCCATGTGTGTACATGTGTCCGTCTATGTCTGCATGCGTTTTGTGTGCACTCATCAACCAGTTTGGGCAGCCTGGCACCACTGAATTTTCCCGAAGGACAATCCGTCAAAAACTGTTTTCATTGTGGCCCGCTATCGTTTCAATAAGGCCGTTAAATAGATGTGGATCCCGGTATGTTTCAGGACGGGGCTTGGTGCATGGTGGGGGTTATATCATTGGTTAAGGAAGACGAGGAGAGAGTTTGTGTTTTTCCTGGTTACGGTCTCATTCCTTTGATCTCTCTAGATAGGATGTTAGCAAAGCTCTGTTGGGATCTTATTAAATGATCTTGGCAGAAATCAGTTCTGCATAAACAGAAGGTTCATTTAGGAACTTACACAAAGAGACGTAAACAAGATAGTTTTCATCTAATCGAATTGTTACTTTGTCCTGTGGAGGCTAGCATTTAAATAAAATCTGTAATTTAAATTCAGAAGAAATATTTTAAGTGTATGATTGAAAAGCGAACGTGGATTGGCTAAAGGTTTCTCTTTTTATGTATATTATCTGACTTAAAGCTTGGCTGACTTTATCTTCTAACTGTAGATGATAAACTGACGGGATACTTCTATTAGTGTGGGTTGGGTCAAAGTAGTAATAACAACAATGGAAGAAGCAAGTAGAGGGACTAGAAATACTACCATTCAAATAGTTCATTAGACCACCTGGTATTTATTCAATTTATACGTGCTGTGATGATGTCTCGACGGCTTTATTGACAATAACAGTGGTATGCTCTTTGGCTGCGTGCTGTAATTATGTGCCGTTACTTTGATGCATTTTATGTCTGCAGGATAAACAATTCAATAGAAAATCGAAGCAGTCGGAGTTTGGCATTGGCTTAGTGGTGGTTTGTTTCTATTCTGCAATGGCATGCCTTCAAAAACTGAGACAAGATGTTGCAACACTGGAATCTCTGTTTCCAAAGGAACACGAACGTTTTCAAGTTTGTGAAATCAGCGTTGAAAAGGGATGTAAAAAGCGTCCTTGCATTGAAAACTTTTTGTGATTCTTTCATTTCAGGTGCTCTCAGCATCCGTTGATGAGATTACTGTCCAATTCATTAATCCCCAAAACAAGCCAATTGTCGTCACTGCTAACGTTTTAGTAAGCTATGCATTTTACGCAAAGATTGAATAAAGAAAGTTATGAAAATTGCGCATATATATATTGAGGCGTGTCAAATGAAAATATATCATAAGCCACTGTAATTGCAAATCCAGTAACTTCTATGAAATTCAATCAGATTATAAGATTGCTGTTTGAGAATATTATTGCAGGAAAATTATCCGCACGTTGCACCTATCTGGTTTAGTGAGTGTGATGACTCAACAGTTACAGCGATTTTACAGTCACTTACTGAAGCAGAAGCACCATGTTACATTTTACCACAAACGCATGAACTTATCTCACGCTTGTGTTCCTACTATAATGTTACTATACCCACTGAATTGATCTCTATTGGTCCCGTAAGTTTCTCCCTTGACCTCCTTTACAGTCCTAAAGTTCTGAAAACATACGATTTTATGTGCTCGCCTTGCATGTTTCTGCAACATAAATTAATATATGTAAGGAAGTTATATGAAACCAAAGACAATACTTACGATCACAGTTTACTGAATTGGTTCGGTGTATGCCAAAAATTTACTCTTGCAAATGATAATTGTATTCAGGATTTTTGACATGATTCTCACTCTAGTATGGTAGAAATTACTATGCACAAAAGTGACGAGGCGTTTTCATTTTTTTTAGAGCAAATGCAAATATTATTTTTAGTTTTGCTAACCTAATTTTGCAGATGTGTTTAGTAGGTTACTTATAGGTTGGCGATGAAAGAGATGAGGGAATGGAGAGTGACGATGATTATATATTAATGGAAGAAGAAACAACGTCACGTAAAGATGCAGGAGATGAAGAAGTGTCCCATGTTTTACTTTTTTATTCACAATTTCTTATTCGCAATTTTTATTCACAATTTTGTAATTTACCATCCGAATCATTATCATTTTACTACATTAGTCTTTGATGCGTTTGTATTTCAGGATTTATCAGCGGAACAAAAAGCGGTATTTGCGAGGCTTAACCATGTCCAGCGTGAGCAACATTTAACTGGTGCTGCGGCCGGTTCTGTAACAGCTACTGATAGACTAATGAAGGAACTGAAAGACATATATCGTTCGGATCATTTCAAGAATGGTGAATTTCTGTGATGTTTTTGTTTTTACATATGCGATTTTCCAAATATTTGAGCTTGTAATTTCCATTTTAGGTGTGTATTCAGTAGAGCTGGTAATGGATAGCCTTTATGAATGGCATGTGAAATTAAAAAAGTGAGTTCCCTTTGCTGGTTTGCCTCACGATTTCTCATAACAGATCATAACTTCTTTGCTAGTTTTGATGATTATTTCTGTTCAACGAAATATTCTTCATTGAAGGGTGGATCCAGACAGCAGTCTAGCTCACGATATGAAAATGATGATAAGGAAAGAATCGCAGGATTATCTTTTGTTTCATTTCTTGTTCAAGGATACATTCCCGTTTGTTATCTGGCTCTGTTTATAAGTTCGAAGATAGTTTTATGGCATATCTATATGATAAGTTCTTTAATTAGATTTTGCAATCTGTTGTATGTGCTTAGCAAATAATTACATAACTAATAAAAATCAAATGAGGAGATTTTCTGCTAAGGATAGAAAACCCTTTTTGGAATTCATGGAAATGTTAGGTTGGCTTACATCGTGTTCCAGTTTCGAACCGCCATTCGTACGCTTAGTTTCTCCAACAATTACGAATGGGTTTGTTTTGGGAGGTGGTGCTATTTGTATGGAACTACTAACAAGGCAAGGGTGGTCAAGTGCTTACAGTATCGAATCATTGATCTTGCAAATTGCCGCTACTTTAGTAAAAGGAAAGGTCGGTCTCCTTACTCTTTTATTGTTAGAAATGAAACATCTCTTGCGCTTTGTTGAAATCTTTTTAATATTTTTACTTAGATATCTTCTTACACTATATATCCTCAAATTCCAGTTGTATTTTGTTATAACTGACTTGAAGAATTCTTAGTGTTGTTCTACAAGGCAGATGGTCTGGAATTCTTTTCTTTAATTTGCGTTTTTTTTTTTTTTTTACAGTATAAATTATCCTGATTGCTCAATTTACAGGCACGCATCAATTTCTCGGTTAAAGGGCAGTACACTTTGGCGCGAGCGCAACGTGCATTCTCATTACTTGTGCAGACCCATGCAAAATCTGGATGGTTTACACCTCCTCAGGCAGATGGATAATAATGAAAATACAGTTAAAATACCTGACTTCGTTGCAGCACTGGCAAGTATTCATATTAATTTTGCTCTTGTTCAAGCTCCATCTTTTATTGATTTATCCCTCTATTGCGGTTCGTTTTTTCATTGCTTTTTTCTCTTATATGTTATTTATTGGTGTTTTTTATCTTAGTTGTTGTGTGATAGTTTTTTTTTCTTTTTTTTTTTTTTAAAATATATCGTGCAATGGAATTTTGGTTCATATTGGAAACCTCTGATTTTTCCTATGGAATTTCTCTTATTTATCTTCCCATACGTTTTTCAGAATTATATATTATTTGCACAAATATATTAGCTAACTTATTTCAGGAAAAGTGGGTCAAATGCTTATTTAATGTAAACTTCACTATGTTTTAAAATAGGTGACATATGTTTTTTTCTTTAAATTTATTTTTTTAATCGATTGAGATTACTTCACAGCATAGTGCATTACCAAATAGGGATGGCATACGTTCCTTTGACTTGTTAATTCATTGCGAACATTGTAATCCTATATGCTCCTATATGCAGAATTTATTTTTGGATGACTCCATGACGAAAGTTCTACTGCTTTAAATCATGTAATTTGATTGTTTTGTAGATTATCACTTTCATTTGCATATTGTTTTGTATTGTATTTTTAATTGTCATATCTTTATTCGCTATAAAAATGTATTCCCTACTCACTTCATGCAGAGAATGTTAGTATAGTAGGAGATACAAGTTGCATTCAGGCCTCGTCTAATTGAAGCTGCGATAAAGTTCAGTATAATTGTTCCTGATTTTAGTATTTCAAAGGTCGTTTGTCAGTGCTTTCATTGTTTCCGAAAAGCTGATTTGTCCAGAAATCAGGTATTTGCAATGTCTTAGAGTTAAAATTCATAGCATTCATGAAATACTACGAAATATTTTACAGTCTTCTCATTATGGA